AGGGCCAGGGTGGACCAGGCCTAAACCTGGTCCACCCTGGCCCTGTGTCCTTCACAAGGAGGTGCTATTTGTAACATGGCTTTAAGGAGATATTTGTTTGGATACATGTGTTGATTTATGTTTTATTTCTTCTGGTTTGTTTCCAGGAGCGAGTGACTAAGCTGTCTCCCAGAGCGCACACGGTGGAGGATCTGAGTCGGCTCTTTGAGGCCTCCATGAAGCTCTACTAAACTCAGCTGCAGTTCCTCCCACAGCCACCAGAGGATGCAGTTCTGAGTCTAAAAACCCCTCACAGGCTCAAAATCGTTGACGTTTTTCATTTGAGCTTTGATTAGAAGATTCTTAGGGATTATTATTGAGCTCATCCTTTAAATTCTTTGAAATGATCACCGATTCAAACGTATTGAGCTTCTAACTGCTCATAACCACACTGTGTTCTAGTTTTAATTTGTGAAGCTTTTAGAAAGCTGAGTGAAGTCATATTAAAGATAAATTTTATGGAAATAATGAAGACAGTTTTCTCACATTATATCTGCTCAAACAGACAGATGAATTATTTGATAAAATCCTGCTTCAATATCAGAAAGTATCAGGTGTGTTTTAGATGTAACATTTTAAGGTTTCTGCTGCAGAAACTCCGATTCTGATGAGTTGCTCAGTCTGGTATAGTTCAAATAAAGAAGCTCAGCACTTTGAGCATGTTTTTCTGGTTGTTTTCTGATTTATTTATTTTTTTATTACAAGATCAAATTGTATGCATTTATTTCATATGTTTCACAATCCCAAGCCTACAATAGTACAGAGAAAACCCTAACATTTAAAGAACCTCCTGTGAGTAAGCACTTGGTGACAGTGGGAAGGAAAAACTCCATTTTAAAAGGACAAGACCTCCAGCAGAACCATGTGCAGTGAGGTGCAGTCATCTTGGGGATGAGGGGAGGAAGACACTCCTTCACAGTTACACAAATGATACATATTTGATGTTTTAATAATTTGACAAGTTAATATTTTTTTCCACTGATGGATTGATTGTTTTGCCAACTTGCCAAATTATTTTGCTTGCTTGCCTAACTATTGACTGATGCCAGTTAGTTTAATTAATATTTGTTGATCTGATTACTTGTGTCTATTTAAATGGTAAATGGCCTGTATTTATATAGCGCTTTACTAGTCCCTAAGGACCCCAAAGCGCTTTACATATCCAGTCATCCACCCATTCACACACACATTCACACAAGCTACATTGTAGCCACAGCCACCCTGGGAGCGCACTGACAGAGGCTGCTCTCTTTGATATTTAATCAAAGAGAGCAGCTTTAAACACAACATGTTAAAGTCTGAATTCTCACAGAAGGTGACTGAAACGCAGTTGATTGAAGAATGAGTTTGTCAGCATGAAGCTGCTGGTGTTTGATTGGTCGCTGTCAAAGCTGCTCATTAAAAGCACAGCATTTTTCTGATTAGATTGTCTGGTTGTTTAGTCTCAAATTCTAGTTTATCATGTTTTCCTGTAAAGCTTCTTTCTTCGAAACCTTGATGTCAGCTTCTCACACTTCTCTCCAGAGGTTTGTGTTTGTTGTTTAGTCTCTTTCTCTGCCTTCAGTGAATTATAATTTTCCATAAAACCTTTCAAATATGTGTACTCCTGTGTTAAACTATGAGTTTCTTGAGTCATCCCATATGTTTTTTCATTAAGACATTAACCACTTTTTTTAAATGTCACTTCTATCTCCAGTTTGCTTCCTTGTGATGATTATTCACGGCCTTAGTATGACTATAAACAGTGAACTACCTGCTTGGCCTTTTTCCTCAGACTCCAGTTTCAGGCATCTTTCCTTGAAAGTTTGATAGATCTGGAGCCGTTCATTAACCACGTCAATTTGATTTTGTAGGTTCTCGTCTTTTTTATGGTGCAAATCAGCTCAGTGTTTCTTCACACAGGGGCGCACTTCTTAAAATGTAATGTGCAGCATTACATACAAGTGATGGAGCTGGAAGAACGTGTGTTTGGTATTGAGTCAGTTTTAAATCAGATTCATAGAATTTGTTACAACATCTAGGCTCACCTAGTAATCGTAAGGTTGTGATTCTGCGCTATATAAATTTGAATTGAATTGAATTGAATTGAGTTTAAACCAACCAATTATGGATTGTGTCAAGACTTCGAGTGCAGAAAGAACAGATTTCTAAAGGCACCACTGATGCTCTGTGTGACACAAATGACAAGACAACACCATCAAAGGACAAAGGGGGACGGACGAGGCAAAGAAGAAAAAATGTTTCAGTGTTTGTTCAACCTGTCTTTTTAACTTTTTCTGTTTCCTTCTGACCTGTTTGCCTCACATTTCTGCCACGTTTCCACAGATACAAACAGTTCAGAAGGATAAAGATGAAACTATACTACTGAAAAGCAGAACATCAGCAGAGACAGAAAATCACACATCAACTGCCCGTAAAAGACAGACATGGCCAGGAAATACAAACACCTTGGTAAGTACATTTAAAAAGACTAATCTATAACATTAATTTTATAATGTAGAGTGTTCTCCTGGACCTCACGCTGTTCTTATTTTACTGAAAGTGGAAAGATTCACAGATCCTGAGAATGAGGAGAATGAGGTTATTACCAGTATCATAGTCTTCATAGTCTTCTATCATAGTCTTTTTCTGAAGAAGCTTTCAGGTATGCTGTGCTTGCCTGTGATAATCTTCCTGAAGGAATGCAGATTGAAGAGTTTTGCAGGGGCAACAACCGTCTATGTGAGTTGTTAGAGAGATGCGGTGGGCGCTACCACGTCTTTGATAACAAATACTGGAACAACAACCCGCAGCATGAATACAGAAACAACCAGCTACAGAGGGAAAACCTGCTCAACACAATAAGAGATGGTGAGGAACAATGGCAGAGGCTGTTACACAAATGAGATGCTACAAGAAGTGGAGAGGCTAAAACAACAACAGCAAGAGAGCATTATCTATGAAGCGCCTTGAGGCGACTTTTGTTGTGATTTGGCGCTATATAAATAAAATTGAATTGAATTGAGCATTAGATCGTCATCAAGAAACATGTCACAGGAAGAAATCAGAGAGGAGGCAAAGAAGAGGGTCTACAATATTCTCAAGATGGCTGCTGGTGTTACCACAGGGCTGTTGTTGGGAGCACTGCTTGGTGTGCCGGGAATGATTGCAAACGTTGTTAAAATGCCGAGGACTTTGAAAATACCAGTAAAAATACCAGCAAGTGCCGTAGTGACAGGAGTGGCAACACAGGGAGAACTTCCAACGACTGGTGTTAAATTGGATACAGTTGCACGGCTTGCTGCTACTGCAGGAGCAATAGGTGGAGGTTCCATAGGATATCGTGAAGCTGATGAAGCAGATTCAATAATAGAGGCAGTTGTAAACACAGCTGAGGCTCTTGGTGTACTAGCTGTAGAAGCAGGAAGAACTCTCACAAACCCTGAAACAGAATGTGTTAATCATTTAGAAAAAGATGAACACATTTCAAGACACATGTAATGCTCTAAACTCCTTATCATCATTTTATTACCAAGTGTCACATTTGAACAGCACATATCTGTATTAATTCTTGATTACTTTGTTTGGCTAAGGCAAGTCTTGCTTGGTTGCTTGTGAATTTCACTTGTTGTTTTGTGGTAAATGTGCTGTGATAATCCTTAATAATACATTTGTAATAATTCATGCTGCTGGGTGTGGTTTTAAATTGGTTTCATTTTTCAGTACATGTGTACAATAAATTTCCCCATTCCTCTAATCAACGTCTGTGTATGTGGAGCCCTTCATCCTGACATCCTTTTGTCTTCCATTATTCCTGTTTTCTCCCCCAGTGTGACTTCGGTTTGTATCCATGGACTTTGTTTTCTGTTGCTGACAAAATAAAGTTTTGCCTTTGGTTTAATTCTGTCCCTGGAGTCATCAGTACATTAATACAGTAGCTCTCAGATACTGGAGTACCTGGAGAGAACCTGGGGAGACATTAACATTGCATTTTCAATCACTGGTTAGTGGCCAGTTACATTGCTAGTATAAATATTAGCTGTCATCTGAGCATCCCTCCATCGATCACCTGTTTCTGTGCACATCCAGATCAAACCCGGGTTTCTGATCACCTGACCTTCCCAGCTGTCACAGGTAGGAGTCACGTGTCCCTGTTGTCCTAATTGGCCATATTCTTGTTGACTGATGCTCCTCATGTCTTTGTATAGATCACCTGCGGATCGTTTCGTCTGAAGCCTTCTCTCCATCGATTGCTGGTATGTGTTTATTGTGTGACGTATGTTTAATTATTTTACCTGGTAGTAAACAGTATTCATAGGTTGGAGCTACAGAAGCCTCCTATTGGCCACTTTTTTTGAAAATCGGGCAGCACTTTTTGATCAGTATGTAACTTTGATTTGTCAAGATTGTTATTAATTTTTTCCCAGGGCTACATTACAGAAGCGCTGCTTTGACTTTCCCTTCTTTCGTTCGGGTTTCCTTCTGCCCATTTCAGTAACTGGTGTTAAAGAATAAATATATATTCTTAGTGCTTATTTTCTGATTATATTGTTTTGTGCATTTTAATAATAAAGGCCTGTATAAAAGAAGGCCAGCTTTTACTCACAAACCAAGTTCTCAGCCACACTAGAAATACAGGAAGTGCAGAGCTGCAGAGGCAATATATTAAGAGGGGCCGATGGCGCGATATGGCAGCCTCGCTTCTGTCAGTCTGTCCCAGGGCAGCTGTGGCTACAATTGTAGCTGCCTCCACCAGTGTGTGAATGTGAGAGTGAATGAATAGTGGCATTGTAAAGCGCTTTGGGTGCCTTGAAAAGCGCTATATAAATCCAATCCATTATTATTATTATTATTAAGAACAGGAAACCAAGGAAAAAGCAGTAACTAAGTAACACACACACAGACACACACAGACACACACCAACACACACACACACACACACACACACACACACACACACACACACACACACACACATCAAGTCAGGCCAGAAAGAGTTGTTTTGATCTAAACTATGTGTGACGTGCTAATGACCAAAATAACACCTATATGATACACATTTTTGCCTTCTAATGCTAGAAATCTGCAACTGGCTTTGGGCTGTGCACGGCTCTCTCTTCCGGAAGATGAATAAATGAATAATTTTAAATTGACAATGCTATGTTAATGGCCAACATTAACATTAAAAAAATAACACAGACTAAAAAATTATTTTTGTTGCTGGAAAAACTGGAGATGGAACGAGTGCAGGAGGAAACACAATCATAGGAAAAGAAAATCGATATTATCAGCTCTTTATTTGTGACAAAAAAAGGAAAGTAAAATGAGACCTTAACACTTTTACAGTAAATCTGAAGTGAGGGCAATGAAATCTTTAATCTTGTTATCTTGTTTGTCTTCCTCTCAACGTTTATTGTTTTCCTAAACTTGTTCCTTCACCTCGATGAAAATGTCATGTGTGGAGATAAGACAGGCTTTTGAAATACAGCAAAAATAAACTGGCACATGTCAATATTTTAAAAAAAGAAAATCTTGGTGAATGCACACAGCATGAGCCACGAGTTAACCATTTGTAATATATGGTTTCTGATCCACTTTAGAATCTGCCAAAAACAGTGTCACTGAGATGATAACACAATCAAACCAAATAAACTGAAATCATTAAAATTACTCAGTGCTGGAAATAGTTTTTCAACAATAACACATCATTTATAAATAAAAAGGTCAGTTACTAAAGCATGCGCACATTAAACCAATTCATTTATTTTTTACCCAGCAGTGCTATCTATCCATCTATCTATCTATCACTGAGTAAGTGAAAACTGAAATAACTATTAGCGACCCACAGAAGAGATACTGATTATCTGTATGTAACCTGGGCAATATTCTAATTACACTTCATCCAAAATTTGAGGACCTCTTGCACCCTAAAGAACGAGCAAACCCACTAGTCCAACATGCATGTACAAGTCTTACTTTAAACCGCAGATAGCATACACTGAAGACTGCAGCTGGACCAAGACTGGAGGACGCTAAAGTCTTGTTGACGTCAGAGGTAAAAGGCTTCTTTTGATAAATGCTAATAATAAACTGTGCTTTATTAGAAGAGCTGATTTTTTTACTAACACGCTTTTTAAAGATGAACATTTATGTAGTCTTTAAATAATAATGTAAGACTGTTGTTTAAACTGTTTAAAATAAGTATAACTAGATATACTAGATAGACTCTTTTGACCTCCTTTAAAAGGTCAAAAGATTATTTCCATTTTTGTTCCTTTCTTGGTTTATGTGATCAACAAAAACAGTTTGTTTAAAGGTTAATTTTCTTAATAATGAATAAATAAACAGGTACATGTGTATACACCACATTAAGTACAATGTTCAAATGTGATAAACAAAGATACAGAAAATATTTGGAAACACTGCATAGTTCAAACAATACTATGTTATTTAGTAGACCTGTTCATGACAATTCAAATCACTTGCGTGACACAAATCTACAATCTTATAAAATAAAATAAACACACAGAACAAAGTTCATGTAAAAATCTTTGTTCTTTCTTTTTCTCTCTCTGTGACATCAGTGTGTGTGTTTTACGTTGCAGTTGCTGCAGTGCTCTGCGATGTGGTCACACTTTTTAAAAAAAGCAGTGCACCAACGATCACAGCTACACCTACCAAGACTTTGACAGATTTTTTGGTTGTGTATTTGGTCAAAAGTCTGTAGACTCTGTGGAGAGAGGCTGATAATGATGATGGTTTACTGCGCTCTTCTTGTTGTCTCTGCCAGTCTTTCAGCATCTCAGTGGTGTAGCTGCCTCCTTCATTTTCCATCAGCATGTTCTGTATTGTGTTGACCAGCTGTGTCACCTGGAACTGGTTGTTCCTGTACTCGTCTTGCTGATTTTTCCAGTACTTATTATCTACAACGTGGCACCGACCACCACACTTGTCTACCAAATCTTTCAGAGGCTTATTATTTGTGATGAACTCCATGATGCTCATTCTGTCAGGTAACTGGTCACCATCCGTGAAGACAACTGTTGAATATTTAAATACCTCTGCAGAAAAACACTCCTGCAGTTTCCTGATGACAGCCGTCTCCTGCTCTGTGAATTTCTCCACTCTGAGCACAATAATGAAAGCGTGAGGACCAGGAGGACACTTTGTGACACAGCTTTGTATCTCATGCTTCAGCTCCTGCTCTGAAAATCCTGGGCTAAAAAAACCAGGAGTGTCAATCAAAGTGAGATTTCTTCCAACGACAGATCCAGACTTTGCTTCACAAACATTTGCTTGTGAGTCTGAAAAATTTAGGACTTTGAACTCATTCCTTCCTAATATAGTGTTAGCGAGGCTGCTCTTCCCAGCTCCAGTTTTCCCCAGCAGGACGATCCTCGTTGTGTTTGGAACTAGAAGAAAAAAAGATTAGTTACACTTTTAACACTTGTCTGACTGTAGGCCTAATTGTGCTGTTTGTAAATTGTCTCCTTTATTGGTTTTTGATTCCTGTTTTTAGCAGATGGTGTCACTTAAAGTGAGTTCCAGTTTTGCAGCTCTGTGTTTTGGTTCCTGTTTAACTTTATTAAATATGTAAAAATTGTGTATGTTTCTGTTCTGTGTCTTGTGTACTGTTTGTTTGTGTCTTTCTTGCGGCTGTTACACCCAAATTTCCCCTTGTGGGACAATTAAAGAATTATTCTATTCAATCATTCTTATTCCTGTCCACACGGCAACTTTCAGTTTTTGGTTGTTTTGTTTTATTTTTTCTTCCCACTGAGCTGTTTTGATAGATATATTTTCATTTAACACCACCTTTCACTCAAATAATTCACTAGTCTTACTGTCCCAGTGTGTTTTACCACCTACTAAAGTTCTTTACACACAGCGGATTAATGATAACATCCTACCACACAACCAGAAGAAATCAAAACCATACTTACATGTAAGGTGTGACACACACAAAAACTATATTCACGTTGCGAAAGGCATGTCCACAATGTTACACTCATTGTGGACATGCCTGGAAATGCAAGTATATTGGACAGAAATTCATAACTATATTCATCATGTAACTGAGATTACACTTGATGTTTCTCTGGGATGGTCTTTAGCCAAAGTGTTTAAAGCACTGAAGGTTTGGGTAGTAATGGCAATAATAATCGGACAAGTCTGTGCATGTCCTCAGTCGTCCAGCTCATGGTAGACTGAGAAACTTGGACAGCAAGCAGCTGGAGTTGTTATTTAATTATTGGAGCTAAAGAAGTCTCCTGGAGAAGTCCAGTTGCTTTATTTTGCCAAGCTTCTAGGAATGTTTGAAATTGTTTTAACAACATGGATGAGTTCAAGAACGCTTCAAAGTGAAGGTCATACATTTAAAAGAATTTATGTGTGGGTACAGAATGACAATGGATTGTATTTGACATTCAATTGTTTTATACAGATATATTCTTTATTTTATAAACTATTCAATGTCAATTGTTTTAATTTAGTTAACTACTTTTTGTTTAGACACAGACATGCTGGAGTACTGACTCTCTTTACATTAAGTTTTAATCTAAATAATAATTGCTTTTATTATTATGTGTAAAGATTAACTAAAAATATATAAAGTTACATTAAAAAAAGGGACATTAGTAAAGGCTAATCAGGAAGAGGAAACATAAGGCAAAGCTCCACCAGCATTATTATTCCTGCAGCAACAGGTTAATATCAGTGGGCATAATAAACCCCCCCCCTCCCCCCCTCCACTATCTGTTTATCTATTCAACCATCTACTTATATTATTCATATTTAGATTATATTTACTTACTATACTTTAGGTATACATAAAACACACTCTTACTTGTTTCTTCTGTTTTTCTATGTGCTTTTTTGTCCAAATAAAGCTCATGTTTAACTTTATGCTAAAATGTGTTCACAATAATTTTCTACAATTTCTTTTACTTAAAATCTTAACTTACAAAATATAAAGGTTCATATTTTAATGAAATGGTAAAAAAGTGGATTAATACCCCCCCCCAAATTATCTTCAGTGCTCCTCGTAAATGAAACACGAGGAACATGTTTTAGCTAGGATGTCAAAACAGCCCACTGTGTAGCCGAACACGTTTGCACTGCTTTAGGAAAGACTTGAAAATAATCAGACTGTTTACACTGGTGCTGAATGATACTACAGGCACTTGTATGCATGTCTGTGTACGTCTAAATTCATTGCTCAGTGCATAAAAAAGAAGTTAACCAACTTACCATCCATGATGAAGGTAATCAGCGGTAGTTGTGCCTGAAGCTTATAATTAATGGCAGACTGTGATGTCGGTGTTTCCTCTCTGCTGTCGGACTCTGACTGTAGTTCTGTTTCACTTTCTGTTTCTGTCTTAAGCTGCAACACACCAAAAAAACAAGCAGTTGACGGGCTGTGTTTAAAAGTCTGTAGCTGTATGGAAACTTAAATTATGATTAGGCTACAAATTTTAAATTACAATTTTATTAAAGCAGAATTATTTTTTGTCATGCATATCTCTCCACTGGAAGTTAGCAAAGACTAAACTGTCTTCCTAAATAAATACTAATGAGAATAAATGTTTCAGTGATGCTCAGTTATTTGTAATTAATAAGTAATTAATTCAAAAATCTTAAAATAATGTTGGTTAATTTTTAGAACAGTGGAACTTTCCTCACAATTAAAAAAATAAAAATGATTTGAAATAGAAAAATAATTGTCCACAATCATTCGATGTATATGAATGTGAGAGCAATATTCAGAAATACTCAAAACAATGGTACAGGTACTTGTACTTTACTAATGGTTCTTTTATAACAATTAATATTTTAATGTCTCAGAGGAAATATTACAGCTGTATTTATTACATAATACAGAGCCCCGAAAGGGATATTTGAGGGAAAAAAATTAAGATGAACTCTTGCAAGATCGCACAAAAGTTTTGCAAGATCCTGAGTTAGAGATCCTGCTACTTTTTAAAAAAGGGTCTGTTTCTGTCCATTCAGGAATGAGAAGTGTCCACGGAGTAGACATGGAGGAGGATTTAGAATGTTTCCTGTGGTCACGAGAGGTCTCACAAGAGAACATCACGCACACGCAACAAGACAAAGTATGTATAAAATTCAGTAAGTGAAAGAACAAGATAGCATAAAACACTGGTGTTGAGAAGGCAATTGACTTGTAGAATAACAGAAGTCATATATGCAAGCCTTTAATGTTAACTCTTGTAATTATGTTCAGGTTCATTAAACATGTAAAGTGCACATATGTTTTGAAATGTCATATTGTAATCTGTCTGTATTGTTACTATTCTAACGTGGACGAAGTCCTTCTGTCAACAAACTAAGTACAGCACGGATAAAGAGACTCTTCTGCAGAACCTAAGATATAAAATTGCAGTATGGAAAGTAAGATCAAAAACCAAAGGAGCGCTGTGTGGTCCATCAGGTGTGTTCCACAAGCAACGTGAAGGGATGGCGAGACAGTGAAATACGGCAGGAGAGAATACCTGCAGAAAAATTGACACTGTTGGCAAACTTTGTGAACAAACCAATTTGAAGCCCCTGAGATTTTACATGATGACAAGACGAAATATGGTCAACTTTTCAGTCCTCATCTGAAGTGGATGAATATAGGGAAGATTTCTTCTTCACAGTGTTTTTGTGGTGAGGTGTGGAGATTGGCAGCAGCTGGTTCACTAAAACATGTCCCTTTAGTGAAAACATTGTTACGGGTTCAAATATTGAGGAGGGATACAGGAGGAATTCAAATCACAACACTGGTCCAGAAGGGTTAGGTCAAACGATGATTTTAAGGAACACACGCGTGGAGAGATGAACACCGTCACACACTCGGCGTCCATCTCTCCCTAACAATACACAAGCAGTTGTTTTATATCATCAGGGTATTATTACGCCCCCTCTTGCGTTAAGCAAATACAATACATGCAGAAGTCAAAACCACAAACGTTCCGTTAACGACTTTGACACAGTTTGAAAGAACATCTTCTTTGCCTCCAAGCCAGGTGCTTCCGGTAGCTCATCTCGCTCTCGCTTCTCCAAAATCTCAGAGGCATGCTCTGCAACAAAACTATCAATTCTGCAGGCACAAAAATGCAGTTACAAGCAAAATATGTCTTAACTCTTACCTAGAATATAAGTCTACCTACAGTGTGTGTATGTGTGTCCTGACCTCAATTGACACCCTGTATCACCTCTCACCTCGCCCACTAAAGCTCCCAACCAGACAGAGGCCACTCTCAGATGTGTAACAATCTACTAAAACTATATATGTATATATTGAATAAATGCTTTAATTAAATGCCACTACTCAAAGCTTAATAAAAAAGAATATAAACGAATAAAAGATAATAATGAATAACCTAGTTATTCAAATAGCCTCGTCCCAACAGCTCCTCAAAATAACCACCAAAAAATGCACACTTTACAGAGGAAACAAAGACATTTCAGAAGTATACTTCCTGACTTATTCTGAATCATCTGTTACCAAGCAAACTCAAACGCAGCACGTTGCCGAATACACTCAGGCCTTTGCTCAGCTACTATTTTACTGTAAGATTAACCTTCTAAGCTCCACGTCACTCATACTCTGCTTAGTTTCACTTTCGCAAGCATGCTCTGCAAAAGCATGCAGTTTCCTGTCTACAGACTGTACTCAGAGTTGGGCCTTTCTTATACAGTATAACCCAATATAATCAGCATATAAGCATTTAAGATTATAAATTTAAACTCAACAGTTTAAAGTGGTTATAACTGCACCTGTAATAAAGGTTAATGTTATTATGACAACACCTGTAATACAAATTATAACATAATGCCAACAGCTTCAATA